AAAATTTAAGAACAATCCAAAGAAAAAGAATTTTTTGTCCGGATATGGCTAGATTGATTCAGATTTGAATGCTGAGCAAGAATATATATGGTTTATAGGGTCGGAAATGATTCCTTCACTGCGTTACAAGCTTCTCAGACAATTATAATACCCTGAAAGGGCATAATACCAGTGCATACATTCTAAAATAAATTATTCTAGTCTTATGTATGTATAATAAAATGATGAAAAATATAAAAACAAAATCTATGCTTAATTTAAAAGTGGTTTTGGGAGTCGACGATTAAGAAACATGTTATTATTATAAAGTGCCAATTTGAATCCCTATTAAACATAATAAGCCTTATTATATATATGAGACATCAACTAGTTTATTTTTAAAAGTAAGGTAATAAATTCATAAAACATGTACCCCTTTTTAAGAAAACTTCAATGATATTCATTTCTTGTAGTTTTGTAAATATTTCTAAAATGCTTGATCCTAAAATCTTGGATCCGCATCTGAATATCTATCCCTTTTATATTAAAATATATAAATTTTTTTAAAATGTTATAAGGGGTATAATCGTTAAAATTTTCAAAAAATTACAACAATTTAACATTTTTAAATAAGTAAGCAGATTTATTAACCTAGTAAAAACTAATATATCGCAGCTTTCCGAATTAAAATTTGTTCCGTTTTCACTTAGCTATGAGTTTTTTAAACTTTGATTTCTGTAAAAAATTGTCCTATAAAAATATACATAAATATCTACTAAAAAAATGTTATTATAATTTTAGTCAGAAGCTTATTACTCTATGAAGGAGTCATTTCCGCCCCTTTAATTCATATATATTCTTGATCAGCATCAAAAGGCGAATCTTTCTAAGCATGTGGGAAAGAAAAAATTTGTTAACCTTTTTTTTTCAATTTTTCTAAGGAGTTACATTGTTAAAATTATCAAAAATTAGCAAAAATTTTAATTTTAAATTGAGTATGCAGATTTATTATCCTAATAAAAACTAACATGGGAAAGCTTTCCGAATTAAATTTAATGCCTTTTTGGCTAATTTATGGGATTTTTAAACTTTGATTATCGTTAAAATAATACTAATATTTTTCGATATGATTAATATCCTACTCAATCATATTATTCCATAGTTTGCAATTTAATAATAAGGGGGTATATATATAAACTTTGACTAATAATATGCCTTCTTGTTTTTAATTTCAAGTGTATTTCAGAGTTCATGTGCGAGGGCGTGTGCTTGCTATTTATTTTTTTATCGGTGGCCCGCATTATCGCGATTAAAGTATTGCAATTTGGAGGCGAGCTTTCCAGAGCCATTAACAACTGTGCAGCATTGTTATCAGCCACAGGATGCACCCCGTCGTCACAGCCACCCCCCGGGCACACACACATACACTCACACACACACACACAAAGCCCCAGAGAAAGAGAGAGTCCTGCGAAGAGAAAATGTGTGCGGTTTTTGGGGGGTGATGAGATGTGGAAAGCCCAGAAAAGAGACAAAGAGAACCAGCTGCTAGGTGTGTGTGTGTGTTGTGGGGGGAGGGGGAGTTACCACAAAAGTGAGAGACGGTAAACAACAGACTCTTGACTCTCGAGTTTCGAGTCTTCTGGCTCGGCTCCAAAACCTCTCGGAGAAGACGGATACGAAGACCGAAAATCGCCCATTATCCATTTTTATTTTATCATCAATTTTATTGCACACAAAGTAAAGAGGCGCAGCCGAGCAGCAAGTTGATGATGTACCAGGCCATCAACATCAATGAAAAACGCCAAGAGCGAGGAGCAGCAATAACAAAATTCACAGGAGAGCGCCACACACACACACACACACTCTTGTAAAGCCGCCGCACACCCACAAAAGAGATGCTGAGAGACGGAGATAGAACACACGCCCTTTTGGTCGGAAAATGCCTCTGACTGAAAAGCACTCGACTGTCGACTTAGTGGCTATGTAAATGCTAATTGCAGGCGTACTTAGTCTTACTTACTTAGGGCTGCATCTGTGCAGCTCCTGTGTAAATCCTCTCGTAGGCGCTTTAGGTATCCTGATGATCCTGTGAGGAGTCTTTTGTTGCTGAACACTTTCGTTTGTTTGGTATTTATTTATATTTGTGTTATTTTCTTATTTGTATATCCTTGTACACGCACTGGGGCTTGAGTTTCTGGCTTTCGCAGCTTTCTCAGCTTGGCATTTCACACTCGAGACACTTTCCTGGTGTGGAAATTGAAACTATATTTCTTGATTCATCACTTATATATTTTATCCCGAACTCGATTCCCGATTACGATTCCGCACCGCCGACTGTCCAAAAGCAACTAAAACGCAAATCACCAGTCACCTCATCTGCTTATGGGCCATAAAACGTCTTTCGACGTTCTACAAGGGGGCACCTAAGCAAATTTTCCTCAATTGACCGAACAATAAACTCAATTTGCATTGAGAAGACGCTCTGCATTGTGCGAGTGTTTGTTTTCGTTCTCAAGTGCCTGTGCCTGTGCCTGGCCTGCGCTTGATTGAATCAACGGCAAACAAGTGAACAGATTTAGATTCGGTTCTCGGCTCGGACACTTTAACTAGTCGCACTGGATTAGTGCTCTTAAGGGGCCTCTATTTGCCTCTATTTGGCACTTATTCAATTGAGGCGTTTTGGGGGCATTTTCGCCAGTTCTGCGACAACGACGATAGCACCAAACAGGAGCAAGTAATTATATATCTCTATAATTCTTGAGAAAAGAAAGCGAGACCTTCAGAAGGAAGCAACTGGGTCGTTCTATTGTTTCTATGGTTTTTAGTAACAAGGACTAATTTACCCGATTGTAAACTTAACCTTAACTAAGCATATATTTCTAAACAATTTATGAAGTTTAATAAGGTTCCATTCAGCTATGAAGAATAAACCTAAAATATATTAACGTTACTTTATATAGAAAATGTTAGTTTTTTTAACTTAATTTAAAAGAACTATGTACTTTTACGATTTAGAAAGCAATTTTTAATTAAATCAAAAATGTACATGTTTGTTTTGACATGTTTTAACAACTTTAGCACATTCAACTTTTGTTTTACTTTTCGGCTAGTTTGTAATTCAAATTCAATAAATGTATTAATTTCATTTTTCCTTTATTCATTTCATTATAAATTAATGAAATTAATAAATTTCAGTTACTTTGAAACCTTTTAAAGTTATATCCTTATAAAATTTATCAGGTTTACTTTATATTTTAAACTTTTCTGTCTCTATCATGCGCTGTATTTAATAGATTTTACTATTTAATTTGTTTTATTCGTCTGTTAAATTTTATTTTTCCTCTACTTTGATTAACTTTTGCATCCTTTTAATTTCCGTATTTCTGTTTTCTCTTTTTTTAAAATTCTTTCTTATTTCGCATTTATATTTAACATTTCCTTTTGATTTAATTTTCATAAAACCCTTGTTGTTTTACTAAGTCCTATTTTTAAGGTTTCGCCTTATTATTTTCGCGTTTCTTTGTCTGTTGTTGTGGTTGCTCTTTCTTTTCGTCCTGCTGCTGCTGCTTCATCTCCATCTTCTTCTTCTTCCTCGCCCTGCCTTTACTCTTGTTGTTGTTGATAAATTCGGATTTTTTGGGAGCGGCTCATTTGCTTTTCTCTTAAACTTTTCCGTTTTTTTCTTCTTTCTCGCGTGCGAAAACCTTTTGGCAGACTTTTTGGTGGAAAATGTAAGATAATTTTACGCTAACTAATAACAAATTAGACGGGGGGAAATAATTTTTAAAGAAAAACCTCCCACGTTGTTCGGGGGATTGATTTTTCTGGGGTTCCTTTCTCAGGGCGCGGGGTTTTTTTTCCAAGGGGAGGGCGAGCATGAAATTTGATGACGCGTTGTCTTTAGAAAAAAAGGACTTTTTCATGTTAAAAAAAATATATTTTTTGTTGTTTTTTATATTTTTAATGCTTTGGCTTTTTCATCACAATTCGCTTTTCCTTTTGCTTTTTGCTGGACCGCACATGGAAAATGCTTGCAAAATGGCACACTGACCACACATAAACACTCGCACGCACGCACACACACGCACACAGACACGGGGATTACAAGCTGGCAGAGGCTGCGACGCCGACAGAGCCAGCGACTGCGCTACCACTTCCATTTGCCTATTCCGCTACTTTTTGTTGTTCTGTCAGATGCTGTATAGTCGTTGTTGTTGTTGTTGTTGTGGTTGGTGCCACTTTTCCACCATTTTACCGAACCAAGTTTCCTTTGAGCCGCATTCGTCGGCGGCACAACCGCCTTCGTTGAGTGAAAGTTTTTAACTGTATAATTTTGAACTTGCGCGTGTTTCAGTGTTGCCAGTTTAGCTAACTTCAAGCTAATTCTGGCATATTTGCAAATGGAAAGCTTGTGAAATTTCCAACTAGCTTATTGCTTAATTTAATATTCATCTAGCATATTCTATAATATATTATATTTAAAATCTGTATTTACGGACATATGTATGTTACATACACCTTTTTTACTATCTACAAAGGTCTTTAACTTAAGAAGGGAGAACCCCGTTTTTAGGATTTAAGCTATATGGATATCTTATGAGCATGAAATAAGCTAAACTTGGCAACACTTGGAAAGGATACAACTTTTAATCTTCCAATTGGTATTTTGAGAATCGCTCGGCAACTCGAAGAGAAGCATGCTTTTTGGTGTTGAGAAAACTCACGAAAATCAAGGTGGAGAACTTTGGAACTGGTAGGAAACTTTGGTAGTTGTTACGATATCAGGATTTGATAATATTTTAAAATACGAATTTGTTTTTCGATGTCTAAACACCCTTTTATCTGATTATTGATTATTATTATATTAAACAGACTCTTTGCATTTTTATCACGCAAAAATCGTCTATTCAATTACGTAGCTGGATTACGTTTTAGATCGTTTAGTGTGACCGAATGTCAAAAAAGCGAAAATTTTATTGTTGCTATTGAAAAATAACTTTTTATTAACGGAAAATGCGGCGGGCACACTGCACTTTCGTTTAACAAATTTTTTATATAAGCTCCAAAATAAAAAATACACCCAGTGACAGGTAAACAAACCACATATTTCAGCTACCCAAGTGTTGTTCTTATTCCCCAAACTTTGTTTCCAATGCCGTAGACCTAAATTCGTGGTATTTTAGATCAACGTTCCAGACACAGTAGAACCAGCAACAACAAAAAGACAAAAACAACAACAAACAACCTGTAAGACCTTGAGGGGATTTTTTTGTTATTTGCATTAATACGACAGACAGACAATCTAATCTAAATTATTCAACCAGGTGGGTGAATTCTGATTAATATTCACTGTTGGCGCTTATCAATTGGCAGTTTGAAGCATCATGTCGATCCGGAGGACCATGGCCAGCACGGCCAACACGGCCAGCAAGGAGTGGAGGGATTACTTCATGAGGTTTGTTCAGATTTAGATAATAGCAATCGCTATATATTACTACTTATTTGGCTTATTCACAGCACCCACTTTTGGGGACCGGTGGCCAACTGGGGCATTCCCGTGGCTGCTCTCGCCGACACACAAAAGAGTCCCAAGTTCATCTCTGGCAAAATGACACTAGGTGAGGGGAGAGGGGAGTTTTTTGGGTTTTTGGCTGAAAAACCTGATTCCCAGACACGCGACGCCGCATCGAAAGTTTCCGCTAAAGATGTCGTAATCAGAGTGGCTGTGATATGTTCCTGGCAAATCGCTGCCCGCGCCGCCTGATAAGCCAGATACGGAAACTGTCGAAGCAGCTGCCGATAAGACAACTTCAAGAGCAGCAGAGAAATCCTATTTAGAGAGTCTTCATATACGTTTAAATGAGTATTTCGAGGCTCTTTAAATTCTATTTTTTTATATATGTATATTTCAAGATTTTTCCTTTTTTAACTTGTATTTGTTTTTTGCAGCTCTGACCCTCTACTCGTGCATCTTCATGCGCTTCGCCTACAAGGTCCAGCCCAGGAACTGGCTGCTCTTCGCCTGCCATGCCACCAATGCCACCGCTCAAACAATTCAAGGCATTCGTTTCCTGCACTACAATTACGGAGCCAAGGAGCAGGAGGCGTAAATAATGGAGATGCGCCTTGACACCCCCTCCCAGGAACGACGTGCGCTGATACTTCAAATGTTTACCCAACAGCAGCAGCAGTTACTGCAATTTACTGCCACTAAACACACGCAACAAAAATTAAGCAAATTGCACTGCCCCCACTGAGCCCGAAATCACAAAGTGGTGACAGTAATGGCAGTGAATCACACCCGCACACCAATTGGCTGAATCTCGAATTCTCGGGTTCCATCCCAATCCCAATTCCGTATGAGTCTAGCCTGGTTCTACCCTATATAGTTAATTCCCTTTCGGCAGTTGATCAAAAATTTCTAGTTGGTGCAATCCTTAGGTAATGAGCATAGAATATTTTTTATACTATTGGCCTGCGTGTAAATGGAATATTGTTAAAATTGAAATAAAGAGAAACATGAAACATGTAGCCCCACAATGGATGTTTATAAATGGTGTCATTTTAATTAATGACGAATAGCGAATAGCTGTATACCTGGTCAAATCAAAGATGTAATTAAATACGCAATGATAAATTGTTTTTTGATTTTGTCATGCTATGTAAACATGCGCTTTATTGAAACAATTACGGTTAAACATTTATATCTTGTAAAATATTCCTTTCAATTGTTCTTAACAATATTTTATTTTTTTGTTGACATTTTTGTAACTTTTTTTGTTCATCAATGGGGGTTAAAAAAATAAAGTTGTAATCTTTACATAGATCTTTTTTTTTGATTTTTCAAACTTTTTTTTTGCAGATTACACTTAGGACGAAAAATATATGTTGTGTGTGGGTACAAAAACAATTAAAATTTTCTCAAACATAATAAAAGTACAATTATAATTAAAAACTCCTCGCGCTCGATGGGCGCCTCTTCTTCTATGCCTATGTATGTGGCTTATTATGGTTTACGTTTTACATCAACCGCTTGGGATTGATGTCCATGTTGGAAATTGGATTTCTGCTTTCTTCTCTTTCTCTCGACTTCTACAACGACTACGACAACTTAAGTAACTAAACGAATGGATGACGACGAGGGATTAGTTCCTCGGACTAAGGCTATGAACCGCAATATGCGACATCGGTAGGTAACGACAGTTATGCTATCTTTATGGCTAAATGGCTACGAGAATCTCAATGCTACTCCTTCTTGATGTAGGTACTGTTCTTCCGCTGGCGCTCCATCAGGTACTTCTTGTACTTGCGTTCCATGAGCGCCACCTCATCGGCCTGGGCGCGCAGACTCAGATTCTCGGCCATCAGCTTGTCCTCCGCCTCCTTCTCCTCCTCCTCGCGCTTCTTCGTCTTCCGGCGCGAGATGCGGCTGGCCTCGTTGTTCTTGATCCTGTCCTGGTACGCCTTCCGTTCGTCGCCGCTCATGCGAGACATGAGCTCGGGATCGGGACCGTCGGCATGATCTTTGGCAGGACGGCCGCGCTTCCGCTTGTTGGACGAAGCGAAGTTGCTGAACTGGGAGGTACTGGCTACAGAATAGGCAGGTGAGGCGGGTGCAGTGAGGAAGCCACCAAAGCCGGTTTGGCAGGTGGGCGCCATACTGCTGGAGCTGGCCGAGTAGTTGCTGTGCGGAGTGTTAGGCGGGGAGAAGTCGTTGGTGGTCTCCTCCTCGGCGCTGCGCAGCTCCCTAACGATGTCGGCTTGGCTAATGATGGCAGTAGTGAAGGTGACATTGGAGGTGTTGCTGTTGCTGGTGCTGGTGGTGGCGGGCTCGAGCTGAAAGTTCCAGAATTGATCGAGATTAGCATCTAGCTGGTTGTTAAGGACGTCCAGGAAGTTCCCAAGTCCAGTGTGGGGTGTTAAACTTACCCTATCGAACTTCAATAGTTGCTCGATGATGTCGGGAGTGCTCGGCTCGCTGGCAACTGGTTCCAATTGGGTGTTGATCTGGACCGCCAGCCGGCTGCGCTTCTTCGCCTGGGTCTCCACCACTGGGGCGGGAGCGCAGCGCTTAAGCGAGGCAATGTGATGGATGGGTGCTGGGATGGCCACTGCGAGGTCGTCGCCAGTGCTGGCAATGCTGCCGCTGGGCTTGACGTCCTCCACTAGGCCGAAGCCGAGCGACTCCTGGCTGCAGCCGTAGGTGCTGCCGGCGTAGCTGGCCCCGTCAGAGATGAGGGGCTCCTCGGTGAAGATTTTAGTTGTTGTGAATGAAGGCTGTGAGAATGTGGTCATCATGGGGTCCTGCGAACCAGTGAGTATGGAGGTGAGGTCGAAGTCCTCGTTCTGATGGGGGATGTCGATGCCGCACATCGTCGTCATGTCCAGGGTCTCCTCCTCGCCGTGCAGGGGCAAGTCAAGTCCATCCATTAGTTGGTAGTCGTCGTTTAGTGTGTCGTTGTTCATCTCGTCCATCGTCGGACTGTAGGGATCCATCTTCTTGCCGTCCAACTCGAAAAAATCCTCCTCGGCAAACATGTTTATATCAAAGTCAAGAATATCCGTCTCAGTAAAAATCTCCTTTCCGTTTTCGCTGCTGCACGTAGATGACGTTGCTTCTATATCTTGCAGGTATTCTGTGGCAAAGAAAAAATACTATTAGTATCGAAGGATAAATAAAATTCAGAAGCTTGTGCTAGATGAGTGTGTGTAAGATAAACATCTAAGTACCCATATTTTGATTTTGGAGAAAGCTGTATAATTTGTAAATATTATTATTAAAAGGTATTAAATTTATATATACTGCATTTATTTTAAGCAGGTATAGTTTTAGTTCAGTTAAATAAATTTAAAGCAACAAGTTGTTATTTTTCCTCTGTATTCTACATTCTTTCTATCCCATATTGTTTTTACATAGTGGCGCTGCTGGACGCCATCTTTATTCGAAGTTTACCCGTATAAAAAGTGGCGGCGCCACCGGCTTTTTTTTACACGGCCGTTTATCGAACTAAGCAATGTGAGTCACTAGTTGTCTCGCTCGCACAATTTGTTGTGAAATTAAACAAACGAAAGGGAAATGAGAAAACGCGAAAAGAAAGAAAACTAAACAAAATCGCGAAGGAAAATGATGAAAATCGGAGCAAACGAAGCCGATTTTTAATAAATAATAATATACATCCAGTAATTTAGTATGAAATAAGATAACAAATTTTTGTATAGAAAAATAATAAAAAAAATACAACAAAACAAATAAAATAAAAATATTTCTAATGGATAAATGAGTATGCTACCTAAATATACAAAAAATTGATAAATATTATGGATGCATTTATTTATTTTAACATAAATAAATAGCTACGAATCGGGAAAATTAAACCTTTGAATTTTGTCAACATTCATAGCCGGCATTTCCGACATACAGTTGCATGACGCATAGCGCGCACTGACAACAACCACAAGAAAATTGAACAGGAACGATCGTGCTCTCTTTTGTCGGCTGAGTGTGTGTGTGCCAAGTTAGGGGATGGCAACACAAACACACATTTGCTGTTTTCGGAATCCCGAAATCTAACACAAAATCTAATTGATCTAAAAATGAAAGAAATGCAAAAAGAAAAACAAAAAATAATCTTTAAATGGCATGAGGCGAATTAATAAAAAAATTATATTCGGAATTGAAATAAAATAATTGTATTATTTTAGCTCCAACAATATTCACCTAGGGCAGTGTTGATTTCGGCGCTGAATATCTATTTGATTTGATATATCCGCTTATCCGGAAAGACAACCAAAGCGCGCAAAGACTTGAACAGAAATGCGAGAGCAGCGCTCAAGACCCGGCAATATCAAACCGGGTCTCGCACTGGTGTGAGTGAGAGCGAGAAAGAGCTCCAACAGCTGACTGCGCAACAAGTGAGAGGCCCTAGCGTCTTCTCGCTCTCACCCACTCAAGTACATGGTCAGGGGTGAGAACGAGAGGCTGGTCGCTCTGCTGCTGCGCAGGAGCGATTTGTTCTTCTGCCAATTACATAGATTTTTGACCGCTATAGGCCGTGGAAATAAGTTAACCGTTTGGAATATGCACAAATACAATGCCACTCGAATTTCACCAGAGCGGCGAAGGTTCGCGAATAATAATTATTGCCATTTAAACACATGCGTTTTGTAGTACAAATTGAGTACCAATAAGAACAGACCAATTCAATGGGATAATTAAATTCCGATCGGAGTAAGTGTCAAGAAATTTTAAGGCTTAAAAAACAAATAAATTTGCAGAAGTGCATTGAAAGGACATAATTTCATGTATTAAAAACAACAAAATTTAATTTAAAACAGTATCTTTAACTCCCTCAAACTGCAATATTGCGTATACGCAATGCACTTTTCTAAAAGACAAGGCAGAGAGAGCACTCTCATTATGTGTTTGGGAGAGTGTGTTTCGGTTTCCTTGTATCTGTATCTGTGAGCTCCATTTCCCCTGCCGGTTGTTTAGTATAGCTATCCCTTTTGCTGAGAGAGTGACATATAAACGAAAGTTAGAGCGAGCGAGGTATAGGAACCGGTAGAGACTGGGGCACGATACTCATACTCTCATACAGCAGGTGTCTGTGTGAGGGGCAAATTATACTCTCTCAATTTCTGCAGATCATTGTGATTGAATTTCACAACAAATGAATTAAATATTTTAACCGTGAAAAAGAAACGAGCCTACCGTAAACTATTTAATTTAATCCAAGTCTGTGTTTAGGGAACAGTTTAAAAATTGGCAAACACGAATAAATAAATAAATAAGTAAATATAATATGGCCTTTTGGCCGATTGTTGCTATTTGCTGGCTAGAAAACATGTGCTACGAAAATTTGGGTCATGAATCAGCTGCTTGCTCTCTCACTGGGCATCCCCCTAAATTACTATTTTTATATAGAAAACGAGTGTATATTTCGCCAAATAACAAACATTATTTTATCAAACAGGTTACGCTTTGAAGTAGGGGTAATAATACATGAAAGATACTACACCCCAAAGTTCATAGCCTTATAAGGGCATATTGAGGTAAATAAAGAAATTATAGATACTGATTGCAAATGTAGATGCATTTAAAAAATAGGTGGCATGACGTTACCTCCATTTCTGATTGGACAATCGAAGACAAAGGCTTACACACATTTAAGTAGCTACACATATTTGTGACATATATTTGTAATTTCGAGGCCATCACACAAGATACATACGATGTTCAATCGTATATAGTTTCTTTACGCTTATCGCATAATTTTGCCCATTGCTTACGTGTAAGAGTTTAAAAAAATCAAACGACAAGAAAACTGCGCAATTAGTTTGAGATGGTACCATTCAAATGATTCACTCCAGTCACTGAGCGAGAGCATCAACTTTATCGATAAGAGCTTGTAACAAAGAGCTACAAAAAAAAAAAAAACACATACATTCGTTGCCAGGCAGAATCATGGAGCCACTTTTTAACGTTAAACGTCGGAATTAGGTGCATTCTAGTTACGCAGCCAATTTAATTAAAAGATGAAATGTATAGTTGTGTGACTTTAGAACTTGAATTAGCTTAAAATCTGTTTTAGGTTTTTAATAAAGCCAAATCAATTAACTTTCTGTCAAAAAGTAAACAAAATTGGTACTTTCTTCTAAAAATTTTACGGAATTTTAAGGGACTTAGAAAGTCCTCATTTAATCAATTGATTAAACATTGTTCTAGTTTGGAAGCCCAAAGTATCTTGTAGATACATTTATATCTATTATACAATTGTGAACTAAGATGAGCAACATCATTTTGGGAGTGACTTCTAAATGGAAAGTAAACATATGTTTTAAAAAAAGGTACCTCTTTTAGTACAGTATCTGGTATAAAGATATTTTATTTAAAAGAAGGAAGAAGTTGAAAATGGAGATTTGCGAGATGCTTATTAATATCAGACGAACACGTCGCCTATTCTTTATATACCTCACATTTCTTTGAAAAAATAGTGCGGCACTGACACTGAATAAAAATACTTAATTTCTATATAGTATATATAATAAATATTAGAATGATTTGTTAGTTTCTGATTAAACGCCCTAATTGCGATCTATTAAAAATTAGTGCCTGTTAGTCTAAATAGACTAAATGATACATAGGTAATAACTGTTATATTGGAGTTTATTGCAGAAATCAGCATGGTAGTCTATTTTTTAATGTGTTAAAAAGGCAACACCTAGATTCGGAAATGAGAATCTTCTGATTGGAATAGTGTGAAAAATGTACAAAGAGAATTGTGAAATAATTATCTAACCAATAAAGTTGTATGGATTTTTGTAAGAGAAGAAAAATTATATTAAAAAAGTCCTATATAAATCAAATATTATTTTCTAGCAAAACGAAAGTAACATAACTGGAAAGATTAAGCCCTTATAACTGGAATTGTGCAACGCATTGAAGAAAAAATAAACTGGAAGATACAACTCAGAATTAATTTCAGGACAACAAAAATAGGAAGAACCAAGGTAAGAGAAAATAATTTAAAAGGAAAGCTAATATTTTAGAGATCGTTATCGAAAAGTGTTGGAAACATATAGAAAGAAAGAAGCCGATAAATGGAAGTACATAGATCAAATATCTAAAAGATATCGAACGTACGAATTATTACGTTGCCATTTACCGGCAACAAATGCGGAACGGGGAACGGGGGCGGGCCAGGTTAGCCACCCCCTGTCACCCGCCACGATCTTCCACTCGTTTCTTCAATGGGTCATTGCACTGTGATCTTCGCCTTTCGCCCGCTACGTGGTTACACTGTACCTCGACGTCCTTGGCAGAGCGACGGCACCGGGACCCAGATGGGGGGGTTGGGGGACTCAGGACCCGGGCCGCGCTCAATGCCTGCTATCTGACTCTTTCTCCAACTGATTGTGTATCTTTTGTGATCGCTGATCGCTAAGTGCGCTTAGCAACAGTAATGAGAGAGTGCTGGGTACATAGGCAACGCACACACACAAAACACAGTACTCACCATCAATGAACACCGGAACGTCTATCTCTTCAACTGTGGCAGTAGGCATTGCTCCACTCATATCCCGGCGGGATGGCGGCTCGTCCGCACCTGTCAGCTGGATACCAGCCATGGACGCCAGGGTCTGTGCCGGAGGCGGGATCGAAACCGGGACCGTTTGGTTCACCATTTCCGTAGTCGGTAAACCTGCCAGCGTCTGTTTGGGCGTATGGGATGTTGCAGTCCCAGTCGTGGTGTACGTTGCGATACGGGTTGGCGTCACCGAATCTGTCGGATTTACTATAGGCCTCGTTGCAGGCGAAGCCCGGTTGGCTGGCGGACGCGTTGGTACCGACCCTGGTAAAAAGGGTATTCTGATAACGCGAGTTCGAGGCGCTCTGGGCTCTGTCACGTTGCAATTGCTGCAATTTCTGTTGTTGCTGCTGCTTGTGGGTACTTTGATCAGCAGAATTCTGGGATTTGGCTTGCTGTCTATCACGATCGGTATGGTGGTTATCGTCGAAATAGGCGAATCCCTCATACGCTCCGTTGGCCTGGTTCTCCTCTGAGAGCAGCAACAGTTCGGCCACAAGTTTGTCGCGCCAAGCGTTGCTTCTGGATCCTGGTAAGTTGTTGTGGTGGATGTTGCTGGATTCTGCTCTGCCTGGATTGTCGCCTCGTATGTTGGTACCTGTCGTCGTGCTGGCTCCTGGATCGTCAATATTATATCTCTGAGATTTTCGGTACTCCTTCTCGTTGCTGTTGCTTGAGTTGGCGGTGCTGTAAACACGATCTGGGTTGCTCGGGGAGCTGCTCTTGGGAGTGTTGTTGCAGATGCTGCTGCTGGGCTCTTGGTTGATTGGGTTGCTCTGGTTTGATTCGCTCTTGGGCCTGGCTTGGCTGGTTTGGGCTTCGACGGAGAATGCCATTTTGAACGTGGCTGTTTTTTTTTTTGTTTTTCAGTAACAACAATCAAATCAATTCGTTCGTGGCAAAATATACGGTTTGGTGTACGGTTCGTTTTTCACACGGTTTCGATTTTGGGTACGACAGGATTTTCAAAAATTTCAACGATTTAAATCGCATTATTTTTGGCATTTCAGGATTTGGTGGATGAGTGGAGCAAGCGCAGTTAAGAGTGTTCGTAATATTTTGTTTTGATTTTTATGTGAAAGAAAATAGACAAAAGAAAAAAGATTTTGTTATTACACAGATCGACGACGGGCAGAGACGCGATCCTGTTTCCTTAAGGATCGCGCCCCCAGTATGTTCTTGTGGCTTGGGTGGGTTAGCAAATGTACAAGTTGTGGGGCTGTGGGCCTCAGTGGCGCAGGACATAACTGGTATATCCTGGCCACTGCTCCTTTAGACCATCGTGTTTTGTTGGCGATTTACAACAGCTTGGATGCATTGTGTTTGGATGGTTGGTTAAGTGGTTGCTTGGTTGGTTGGGTGAGTTGTGTTTTTTTTCATTAGGCCTTGTTTTCATTTTTTGTTAGTGTGCTTTTCCTTTTTTCGTTAGCCATTAATTTTTTTTTTTTGCTTTTTCCCATTTTCTTTCTGTGTATTTTACAAATCTTTTTCTTTTGTGTGTTTTTTTTAGTTATTTTTATGGAATTGCTCCTTTTTTGTGTTTGGAATTACTCCTTTTTTGTTTGGAATTACTCCTTTTTTCGTTTGGAATTACTCCTTTTTTAGTTGGATTTACTCCTTTTTTGTTTGGAATTACTCCTTTTTTGTTTGGAATTGCTCCTTTTTTAGTTGGAATTACTCCTTTTTTCATACAACATAATGGACTTGTGGTTCGTGCAAGGACTTGAGAGTCATGAGGCTTAATGCTAGTAGACAGAAAAAAGGACATGGTATACTCACTTTTAATTGACCGTTAGAAAGAAACAATGAAATTGTTAGGGTCCCTCTAAACAAGCTCTAAAAGAGTCGTCGACACAAGTTCCCCTTAAGCTGTAAGCAAAGAAACGGAGAACGCACATTACTTATAGGCCCCAACTGGTGATTGCAGATATATCTATGGTTTTGATGATGATAAGGGGCCTGGGTACATAGGGTAGGATTTTCTTAAGTACCCTTCAGTTACAATTACAGATAATTTTGTGTGTTTTTCCACCCTAAACAGCAAATGGTTCCTCATTCGATACGTAGGTGACTTTCAGATAACAATCTCTCGGGCACACGCCTACTGTGAAAAGCTCTTTTCGAATTTCACAACAGGCGGCGGCAGGCAAAAACAACAACAATATGGCAACAGGTCTCTTGTTCGCCAGTGATGGGTTGGGGATCGGGTTGGCTCTGTGGTTGGGGGGTCTAATCAGCGATTGGCAACCACCTCACCCCCTGCTGCTCCCTTCCTCACTTAGATAATTAAGGCACACGTTCGTGTCAGTACATTATCGCTGCTCAGATATCAGAAACCGTGCGGCCGGCAAAAACAACACCAGAAAGCAATTAACGACCGATGGAAAATCCCCCACGAAAAGCTCACGCAAGCTCTGGCTAATTACACACTTATAAATGTCACCCTATAATTTATACAAAAAAAAATCCCCTAATGTAACTTTTTTTTGTTAGTTATTTCTTTTAGATTGTTTTTTTTTTTGTGTCTGTGTGTGGCTTCGAGGGCAAGTGACGTCAATGGCTCACTTAAGCGATTCAATATGGCGGCGCAAAAACAACTAAAGAGCTTTCGGTGCAAGTCTTTAAAATATAGTATATCTTATATACACTTAGCTAGCTGAATTTTATATTTTTCAAGTACTAAACTGGCTTTTAAAACTTACATAAATTCGGTGAATGTGTCTCCAAGTGCGGGGGGTCTGGTTTTGTAGAAAACCCGACCGCGAAATTCACTTGTCTTTGCTGCTACGCAATTGGTTGGGTGGCTCCTCGCACCACCACTGGGTATTTGGTTCACGTCCGGCCGTTGCTCGGATCTGCTAGATACTTTTCGCCACCGACAAAAGTGTCCAGTTGTTGCTCCGCAGAGAACAACAACGATTTGCTAAACTATTTGCACTGCGACTCCTTGTGACAGGAATCGAAAACGATGGTAGTAATTTGATTTTAAATTTGCACTTTTTTCTATATAGAGAACTGTTCACTTGGTGTGGATCTGTTGGAAGTGAGTCAACCGACTGCTACAAGAATTCACTGCGTATTGAATCGAACGAACCGTCGTTGGTACGCTTCAAGCGACAAACAGAATCGAAACTGTGGGCTTCACAGGCCTTCTACGAATTTCATTCGTTGTGAAATTCAAAAAGCACCCGCAGAAACCAGTTTGCCATATCGAGATACTCTTTCTTATCGGTGTCGTAGCGACTACGAGTGTATGCGTTGAAGCTTTGAGCTTATACACAACACATGTTCCTGCTGTCAGATACTTTTTAGCCAGAGCGGGACAAGGCTAAAATGTACCCACAGTGAAATTTCCCAGCCATCTGTGCGAGCCACAAGTTGAAGGCCTTTGTCCCCACAGCCGGCCGGTGTTTCTTTCGAAAGCAAAACATTGCTGGGACACAATTGTAGATGTATATTTATATATACATATAGTGTGGCAAGTAATACAGTCACTAAACCGCTTTTAGACATTATTCTATTGGGAGCATTTGCGGTGTGACTCATACTTTGTTTGGTTTGGAGACAACGAAAATCTCAGCATCACAGATACTTGTCAACTGACCTAGCACAAAGCTATTGAAAAGATTTTAATAAGCAAATGAACTTATAATTGTTGCTTTTGAAGTAAATAATAATTAATAAAGGTAATTGGGGCTTGTAAACTTTGAAGGTGTAATATTCATATAGAATAGACCTGACTAAGTCACAAATAATTAAATGAAAATACTTAAAATATGGAGAACTAATACCTGGATGTAATAAGAATTAAATAATCCCATACTATCTCTACTCTAAATATTTTGTATAAATAAAATAAAATCAAAACAGGTAAATATTTGTTAATAAATGTTTTGTTTTCATATATGGAAATACCTAAACATTTGCCAAAGGGTGGTTTATTCAGGAGTTACTATTGACTTCTTAGCATTGTGAAATTCAGTTTCAACCCTCAATTATATCTCTTTTTCAAGACATCAGAGGAAGATTCTGAAGTCCACAACAAGTCAAGATACGTTGAGTATTTCAAACAGGGGAAATTTATTCATATAGTCTTTCTCTTTTCTTTCTAAAAGCTTTCTACCCACACATTTCAGTCTGAAAAAGCTTCTATTCAATAGTATTAGTCGCATTTGGTGGTGTGCGGCAGATAAAAGCTATTTGTTTTCTCGGAATTGAAAAGCTTCCGTATGTCTGCAAGCCTACAGACATAAGTATCTCAAGCTTTGACTGATAATTAAAGAAATCCATGAGTCACGCTGAAACTCAGAAATCACCGAAGCACAAAATGAGCTGTGAGCGGTTAGCAAAAACAAAAACAAAAAAATCTGTCATCATGTGATATTTGTAATGGGCCCCTGAATGCAAACAAGTACTTGGCGTGGGGTTTTCATACTATTTTGGCCACGTACGAAAGCTTTATTAGACGGAATTTGTGGAAATTTTCCCCTGAAGGCAAACGCACACGCTGAATTTCGAATGCTAATCTTTTGGCACCGAGCACTGGCTGGCACGAGATCTTGGAATCGAAGACGACCGCTAGCCAACACAATGGTTGGCAAATTACCAAAAAAAAAAAGAAAATAAAATAAATGGCCAAAACAACAGGCAAACCTTCTTGTTTGCCTTTTCGACTTTTTCACGATGACTGAGGAATATTTACTCCCCCAAGGGTCTGGCCCAAGATAGTGCTTTCCATGCACCTAAGTTATTAATATTGGCTCACAAAGACTCTTCCTTGTTCGATTTTCCTATCTTATCTGCTACTTTTCGCTATCAATTTGGCTTATCTGCAGTGTGAACTTAAGCGTGGTGGCTGCCGTAACATGACTAAGTTTCAAGATATTTAATGATGATCAAAATGTCTGTGTTGCCAATTTTGGGAAGTTTTTTAAGCCAGTTTTGGTGTGCTCATTTTTGAAGGCTGTCTACCTATTTTTCAAAGACTAAACTTGAGGTTAGTTGAATTGAAATGCCGCAAACGTAGGGTATATGGTGTAAATTGAGGAAGGGCAATGATTGATGAGAGGAAAATATGCTACAAGACTAGTGGAATGCCCTAAGATAAATTTCTTAGGGTAGGTTAAGCTGTTTTAGAGCATAATTCCTAGAGCGTAGTAGTACTTCCCTCATTTCCCTGCATTTAATTTAACCTTTCAGCAGTACCTATGTCTATATCCTAAATCCTTGGTAAAACCAATAGACCCCATTGAAACATAATACCCTGTAGGGCAGGCCCTATCAGTTTTGTAAGTTTACTAAAGGCCTAGCTGAGTGGGCTCGTCTATATAGCCCCCATGTAAGTAGTGCCAATGTCAATGACACGGCTATTAGGCAGCAACATTTGTTGCTAGGGAAATATACGAAATGTTGCTAGTGACTAGATGCATAGGGTATGGGAATATAGTTTATAAATGCTCACCCTCCATCATGTTGCTGCCTTGGTGAGCAGGTTCCAATGATGACGACACAAATATGTTGCACGGGCTGTGTTTCCTTATTTCCGCTGGATTAACTTGTCTGTTTCGTGCCTCAAAAACGAATAATAGTGGCGCAGCGGCGAATGCAGATGCAGTCCCGCTTCTTCCGTAGAAACTTGGAGCGCTTTAGGACCTTGGTGGCCGTACCAGTGCCGGTGCCGATCTTGAGGGTAGTGACGTGGTTGTTGCAATAATACTTGTTATTATGCCAGCCGCGCATACGCATACACATAAAGTTGTTGAGCATGGGAACCTGCTGCTGCGAATGTTGCACACACATGAAGACAACGGCAGGCGAAGCTTGCATGACGTTGTTGCTCGTCTTGGAAGGAGATTTTCCGCTTTTCCTCGCTGTTGTACTTGTAGCACCAACCGCGGACACAGCGAACATAATATTTGGGCCAAAAAGCCTTTTGATGGATTTTCACACACAGATGGCTAGCTGGGTGGCGGCTATAGCAATCGGTTGTTAATGTTCTCGTCAAGTGTAAGTTCACACGCGGTGTTATCTTTATAGCATCTAGACACAACTCTTATCTCAGATACTATATGTAGAGTATATGGAAATGTGTTTGTTGTTTTTTATTTTGGGGATTTATTGCGTCTCTCGCAAATGTTTTTTTCAGGCAAACCTCGAATAATCGCACTGAACTTTGCACTTGTTGCTGGGTTTATCTTTGTAATTTTCACACAAAAATATATATAAATTATTGTTCTATGAATAAGAAATCGTTATAACGGAATTCAGCTGATGATGCCATTAAGAATCTCTCGGTTTGGATTTATTAAACTCGAAATCGAAAACAAATTTCACAAATTTCACGATGATTTGCACACACGAAAGCTTTTTGCTGCCTTGACTCACTGAAAATGTTGTTCTGTTCGCGACGACTGAAGTATTGTTACTAACCGACGGCACAGCTGCGAGCGCTGGACGGATTGCCGCTCGTTGGGGTTGATATAAAAACTTTGCTGACGTCGTTGGACATCTGCGTGTTCACCATCTCCCTGTCTATATACCCTTCCCATTTGTCTATTCTCTCTATCTCTCTCTCTCTCGGCTGCTGTGTCTATTTCTATGGCCGTGCCCCCAAAAAGATTTCCACCTCCTGCTCGTGATGCCGAGGAGCGGCCACATCGACAGGTTTAATCTTCTTTTGAGGTTAGTCAGGGTCCAAACTGGTTCGCAGAAGTTCAGGGTAGTTCTCAAAGGTGTAGAAAGTATTAATCAATTTATTGTTTGTTTTGACAGTTTAGCAACAACCAAAGTTTTGGTTCGACAATATATTAAATAATATATTAAACTACAGTTTGTCATAAAATTAGGTGTACAGATCTCTATTAGACAATGTATCTTCTTATAACATCTGCAAAATTTTGTTTCTTTCCGACATGGCTAAAAAGATTCACTTGTTAATGCTGATCAAGAATATCTATGGTTTATAGGGCCACTTTATAAATTTATAGTACCATCTGCAAAGGTATAAAAATAAATTTCATACTTTTTTTTTGCATTAGAAAAACTTTAGAAATTAATTGCTATTGCTAGACACCTACTTCCTTATTGCGACTACGCAATATCATAAATCCAGTGTGAAAATCGAACCCGGTTTAATCATAACCCTAAAATGCCTTTGACTCGTGCCACTTGGTATGAAAATGGCACAGATTACATTATGGCGACGCTTTGCCTTATCAGAAGCACCGACGAAAAGACTGATAAGGAAGCTAAAAGAGATTAAAAATAGCTCTATGTTTAGATAATATACAAATGCTTCGGTGCAATGTTTGTAAATTACCACAAAAAGGGTAATTAAGTTGTACATTAAGTCAGCTAAGTAGATAAAATTCTAACTTTCTTTCACAGAATATTAGGATCATATAAAATAAACATCGTTTATCTTTTTCCAGCTGTCGCATATGCCGACTCCAAAATGTAGGGGAACTTGCTTGGCTGCTTTCCGAGAGAAAAAAACAACAACAACCACGTACAACATTCGCACTCTTTTGCTCCCTCGTGAATCAAACTTGTTGAGACTCTCACTCTCTTTCACTCCTTTGTGTGTGGGTCAAATGGCTGATGCAACATTTGCCACGCATTGCAACAGCTGTTTTGGGGCACAGCTGATAGCTGCTGGCATGTTGCCAAAATCAGAGGAAATCTCTCTCTCGGCAACATGTTGCTAGCACATGAGGAAAACTTAACCGTAATGTTGATAAACATTTTGATGGAAAGTTCTGGCACGATTTTTCTTTCCCCTTTTTGAGCCGGTCAAAAAGGGGTAGCAACTAGGCGCTAAAATTAGCCGGTACATGATTCACTTTTGGGGGTGTTGACCAACTTACATAACCCAGCGCGTCGACAAAGCTAATTGGAGGAAAATGTGCCTTGGTCCACATTTAAAAATTTTAATTTAAATTTTGAAAAGGTGCTATGTGGCTTCAATTCATTAAAATACCTTACAATTTATAAAATCAATATAAAAACCAAAATGGAAGCTAATTTCGGTCAGCCGATGTTTATATAGCCTTACAGTTACCAATTTGATAATTTAATCTAATTGGAAATTGGTCATAAGTATAGCAAAAAATCATTAAAATCAATTTGGAAAGCTGTCCTAAGTTAGTTATTATTGAAGTAATAAATTTGCATCCTCAATTTAAAATTTAACACAAATTGATTTTTTTTTTAATTTTTATCAATTTTAATGATGTAACCCCTTATAAAATTTTGAAAAAATGGTACACTTTTTTTCTGTCGGACACGGCTAGATTGACTCAGCTATTGATGCTGATCAAGAATATATATGATTTATAGGTTCGTAAATGATTCCTTCTCCGAGTTACAAGCTTCTGACTAAAATTATAAAACCCTGCAGGGATATAATAATGCAATCTATATTTTCTTAGCTGAAAGATTCTTGTGTTTAAATGTATTATGTTATTTATTAAAATTTTTTAAGGATTTTCAAAATACTTACTAAGAACAGTCCATTTTAAGGACTCCAGGTAAGGCTTTATACTGAACTCTGTTGGTTTGGAATTGAAAGAAGAATGCTTAAGCGTCAAGGTTTGTTTACTAGTCATCATTTTTGTAATTTTCCCAGAATACACACATAAAGATATATATAAATATATATCTATATCTGTACATATGTGCATATATTTTTGCACATTTAGCATCACACTTTGGGATTGGCGCAACAGCAGCGAACCCTGACGTGGTTCCAATTGGGCTCTGGGCATGTTTTTATCATTTTTGTGTGTCATGATAAAATCAGAAAAACAGCAACGTGTTGGCCACTTAATGGCCAGTGTCAGCCAAACATCTTATTAAAATATACAGACAGAAATTATTTTTAATGGACAGACATATAAACATTTCAGGCGCGAAAGTATAGGTCTCTAAAGAGCTGGTGCCTTTAATTTTGCACGCAACGAATGATTTAAATAATTAAATGTTCACGTGAATATAAAGAGAAAATATTTAAAATTAATTTAGAAAGAAGGTGATAACTTTTCAGTTAAGAAGAAGAGTTACCATAGGGGGACTTATGATCAAAATGCATTAAATACAGCTTACAAGTATTACAAGTCTTATATTTCATACCATAAAGATATACAAGAAGTTGTCACAAATAAATTTTTCCTGATCCACAGATATTTTTTGAAGCAGTTACATGATTTGATACAATTTCATTGCATTGGTTTACCTTAATGAATGCTCACTGTAGTCAAACTGCCTCGGAATGAAAGTCGGGTCACAGTGAATGTACCTAGGGACGCTCTCCCGCTGAGCTCTTGTTGTGTTAGAGAGATTAAGACTGGAACTGGAATTGAATAAGACTTGAGCTGAGACGGAGAAATGAGAGACTCGGTTTGTGTGTTTAAGGTTACTTGAAAAGTATCGGACTCTCTTGAGCCGGACTTCAGTGTGGTGACGACGTCCAGTGGATTGCCTTCTTTCCTAGGACAAACCCTAGTTTATTTCATTTTTTGGATTATTAACTGAATTTATTTTCCATGCAGTTGCTATCGTGGCTGTGGCCACTTCTCCTGGTGATTGGAGGTGGCTCCTCTGCTCCCCAGAATGTGCTACTTCTTTTGGCCGACGATGCCGGCTTTGAATCGGGAGTTTATCTGAACAAATTCTGTCAGACGCCCAATCTGGATGCTCTGGCCAAGCGGGGACTGGTATTCAACAACGCCTTCACCTCGGTGAGCAGCTGTAGTCCCAGTCGCGCTCAATTGCTCACCGGCCAGGCCAGCCACTCCAGCGGCATGTACGGACTCCATAATGCCGAGCACAACTTTAATGTGCTGCCGGAGACGGGTTCGTTGCCAAACTTGCTGCGAGATCAAAGTGGAGGTCAGATCTTGAGTGGCATTATTGGCAAGAAACATGTGGGAGCAGCAGCAAACTTCCGATTCGATTTCGAGCAAACCGAGGAGCAGCATTCGATCAACCAGATTGGAAGGAATATCACCCGGATGAAGGAGTATGCCCGGCAGTTCCTGAAACAGGCCAAGGACGAGAAGAAGCCCTTCTTCTTGATGGTGGGTTTCCACGATCCGCATCGTTGTGGTCACATCACTCCGCAGTTTGGAGAATTCTGCGAGCGCTGGGGCAGTGGAGAGGAGGGAATGGGCAGCATTCCCGACTGGCGGCCCATCTACTACGACTGGCGCAATCTGGAGGTGCCACCGTGGCTGCCTGACACGGATGTGGTGCGTCAAGAGCTGGCTGCCCAGTACATGACCATCTCTAGGTTGGATCAAGGTGTGGGACTGATGCTCCGGGAGCTGGAACAGGCTGGACTGGCAGAGGAGACCCTTGTGATCTACACCTCTGATAATGGACCACCCTTTCCGGGCGGCAGGACGAACCTCTACGAGCACGGCATTCGCTCACCACTGATTATCAGTTCGCCCAATAAGGAGAATCGCCGCCATGAGACCACCGCTGCCATGGTTAGTCTCTTGGACATATACCCCACTGTGCTCGATGCCCTGGAGATACCCGAACCGAATAACACCAAGATCGCTGGAAAGTCTATACTTCCCGTTCTAAAAGAGGAACCTGCCATTAAGGAGAGTGATTCCGTGTTTGGTAGCCACAACCTGCACGAAGTTACCATGTCCTATCCCATGAGGATGGTGAGGAATAGACGCTACAAGCTCATACACAACCTCAACTACTGGGCTGACTTCCCCATCGACCAGGACTTCTACACCTCGCCCACCTTCCAGCAGATACTGAATGCCACCATTACCAAACAACCGCTGCCCTGGTACCGATCTCTATTGCAATATTACCAGAGACCCGAATGGGAGCTATTCGACATCAAAGCAGATCCCTTGGAACGAGTCAATCTGGCCGAGAAACCCAAGTTCAGTGGCACTCTCAAGCAGCTCCGGCAGCAGCTCTTCGACTGGCAGGTGGCCACAAAGGATCCCTGGCGTTGTGCCCCCCATGCCGTGCTCCAGGAACAGGGCGTCTTTAAAGAGGAACCCGTCTGCTTGACCCTGGGACACGAGGCCCTGCAGAGGCCCAACCGCAGGATCCTCGGTCAGTACGAGGAGTATGAAATTGTCTAGACCCCCTATCTCACTCTATGTACGTACAATTAAGTATTCTTTAGATAATGGTCACAGTCTTATCGCACCTAAAATAAAACAACAATCCCAAGTGCTGATAACATAAACATTTCACTGTTTTTCACTACTAAAGTGGTTACAATGATTACCAGGAAAATAGGTAAATATTATTGAACTAAATCTTACGGAGGTTTAAATTCGGGTTAGCTTAATACCATTTAAATGCGTTAAAACCAAGGATTTAATAAAAACAATTATAAATATGGACAGCAGACTAAATAAAAAAAAAATGTTTAAAGTCTCTTAGTTTATATGAAAATACTTCTTTTTTAACGTTTCGTGCGCTAAAGTGCAGTCCCAACTATTTTATTCTTGACAAAAGGAAGCTAAATTACGTATACGCCCTGTTGTAATTAGTATTTCAAATGTAAGAGGAATGCAAGGTAACTATTAAATATTTCTATAGATTTTAAAATTTAGTATTACATTTTACTATAGCTTTATATTTTCTAAAGTCAGCCAAAGGTCAGATTTGTCTAGATCGTCTTGCCTATTGATGTAAATGTAAATTATAAAAATTTTATAAAATGAATTAATGTCTCTTCTAATACTACTTTTAGGTACACTGTTTAAACAGAAAAAGTGTAAGTGTAAACAATTTGACTTTTTACCAAGAATTAAGAAAGAAAGAGCCTTGAAGTAATATTATTTAAATAAACTTTGTTTATAATAATAATTTTTAAATCCAATTACCTCTTTAAAGGTCTGCCCTCCTGGCGCCGTTTTCCCTTGATTTTCCATTTCCCAAGTGGCCACAGCACTCGTCACACATCTAGTTCTCGGAAAAGGGCAAATTTTTCAGCTAGCATCCGAGGGGTTGCATCAGTCCCAGACTGACAAACACTCGTATCCTGGCGGCATGACCTCAGCCACTTTGGGGTGGCGTCGGGAGATTCATGGGGTGGACGCGTCACGTTTCAATGTCATGCCCATTGGGAAGCCTTTGGGGATGCAGGGGGTTGGAAGAGATGGAGGCTGTTGCTGCTCTCGCCTTGGGGGAGGTGGCTCGTACTTGTGTGTCTGTGTGAAAAATCGAAAATTTCAATGCTGCTCGGGTTTATTGGTGGCGCCGCTGTTATGCTCCCCTCCTCCTTATGACCCTGCAGCATCCGAAATCCGAGTCAGTGTTACACAACAAGCACAGACCGAATGGCTGGGCCAAGGCTGTTAATTGGGCGGGAAATGGGCGGAACGGACGTGCTTTAAGGTCAGCTCGTAAATATCAAAGAGTATAAAAGGAAACACACACACGATGGTTTGGCTCTTTTTCGCATTTATGACTTTGAACGAAAGACACATTAAAAATTAAATTTTATTAATTTTGGTTTGCATAAATTAGGTCATCAGTTTTTAGCGTAATTATTATATAGTTTATAATGTATATTATTAAGGTTCCGCCCACACAAAATGCATAATTACAATTATTATTGTTTACACTTCTTCTGGCCCTCGTCACTGCGTCGATATTGTCCAGATAAGTCCGATGCTGAGGGTCCCCAGATGGAGCCCCTCTGGAAATGTTCGGTCTGGCTTGGGGCAAATGTTTCATCTTCGCTCTCAAATATAATTCTGTTAAATTGTTTTCGTCGCCTTTTCGGCATTTTAACTAATTTATTATCAACACAAGTTGCATGGATTTCAATTCAATTTCGCTTTCTGTGTATATCTTTGTATATATTATTATTTTTATACGGCCCTGTTCCCGCTGACGTTCCAATCCAATTAGGCGGAATCGGAAGTTATAAGAAAGACCTTATAATAATGGGCGTTATGCATCGTGTTACTATAGGGTCTTTGCTTGTAACAAGTTTTGTTTTTGCAATAATCCTTAATTGTTTTTTGTATTCTTATTTTTAAAACCGGAGTATTTAAATTGGATTAACGATTTAGATAAATATCAATAGATGTCTCGAATGAATGAAAACCGATTTCACATCATTTGATCGGAATCGAAAACGGGAACATCGGTGATATATGCACACTTGCTTGTTTCGTTTATATGCCAACATGAGACTATTTTAATATTTTTATAGCATTCTTGTCTGTTTTGTTTATTTCGTTTTTTTTTTGGGTTCCTCTTTAAATACATAAATATTTGATCTAGAGTTGCGGTTAGTAAACGCTTTAGTTAGTAGGTTTTTGTAAGTGTTGCTATGCTTCTTCGATTGACTTGACTGGTTTCGCTTACGTTTACATTTATTATTATCAACATTTTGTCTGGAAATCGTTTAACTAGAGTTATGCTGCTTGTTGGTATTGTTTAGGAGGATTCTGTTACATCATTACTTTGCTTTCATATACTTTAATATTGGTTTCGTATTTACTTCATTATTTTGCTGCTCAGTATAATTTATAATAAATACATAATAATAAATATACATGTAGATAATACGCTTAATAAATATATATATTTATATATATTTGATTTCATTTTAATATATAGTTGTTATGTATATAATTAACAAAAAAAAACAACACACATAAAAAGGAGCAAAAAGTAGGATACAAATTTCTCGCTTGTCTCCATCCTTTGAAGAAGAATTTCTGAATTATTCTTTACAATTTTACAACGAACATCGAGAGAACGTTTGAATAGAGTGTGGGGAGTATTGTTTTCGCACAAATATATATACGTAGGTAGAGTAGGTATAGGTATTCTTGGGTATACAATAAATATATATTTATATGCGGGGCGTATGATGTGGATAGGTAGCATTATAGCCTTTTTAGCAAAGACAGTATAAGCTTCAAGATGCGTCGCGCTCAGCTCAAGGCTTTCTTTAAAGGATCTCAAATTTTCCTAAGAGAGCGCTACGCATCTTGAACATTACAAGGTCTTCAATGGGACCCAGCATAGAGAGCGCTTTGGTGTAGGCGTAAGTAGGTAGGGTAGGTTGGGCTTAAATTACAACAATGAGACCGGAAGGAACAACATAGGGCATAATAAGATCGAAAAACGGAGACGCATGATCGATAAGATAAAGTATGGGTAGTTAGTTAATTGGCTAAGTGGTTGCTTTGCTTTCGACCAGCTGTTCTAATACGTGTGCTAATAGAACGGCGGCTGATCTATTGTGTGTAGTTAGTTAGCACTAAGACGTTGCTGCTTCTGTTTGAGAATCAAAATTGAAAACGCAAGGAAGTCGCTTATGGGGCGCGTAACATTTCTCGTAAATTTAGTTAGTTATACATACGTATAGTACATTAATTTAACTCGTAATTAATTTGTTAATTATTGTGTTGCCAACTGGTAAAATTTGTCGCACATAAAATTTAGTTAGCTTGCTGTATGGCCACCAAGAATATTTAGCCGCAACGTGCTGCTCTGTGTGCTAGCTAAGCCGTATTTCGTAATATCGTAATCCGTAATCCGTAGTAACCCGCTCTTCTAATTCAACTATCTGTGTATATATGTATATATATACTATATATTTGCTTGCATGTGCGCCGCTGCTGCGCCTCTGATGGCGGCGAAACCAACATTATTGTTCTCCAATCCCTTCCGCGATCTCTACGTACGTTTTCAGCTCAGTTTTGATAGGATATGGGAGGATAATTGGGATGGGAGTAGCGGTTGCAGGGAGACAGGATCCTCCGCTTTAGTTGCCATTGGGCAGCGGGACCTGGACCTGGACGTAGGACTGCGGGAAGTAGCCGGTACGGCCATTCACCGCACCCTCGTACCAGTTATCGTCGACGCGATTCAACAGGGTTATGATGTCGTTCTCCTTGAAGCCCAGCTCACCGGGATTCTCCGGCTCGAAATCGTAGAGGGCCTGGCAGCAGGGCTGCTGCTGGCGCTGCGGCGTTACGGCCATCGACTTGGCGGGCGAGCGCATCGGCGAGGGCAACGGCGAGGCGCTCGAACTAATGTGAGACGGCGTGCCATCTTCGTTGAGGCCGCCGCCACCGCCGTCCAAGTTCAGATCGAGCAGCGTCTTGGGCACAAACTCATTGCGTGGCCGGCTCTCCGCCTCGGAGCGCTTCTCCTGCAGCGTCTCCTGCAGGCCTCGTAGTACGTCGGCGCACTGCGAGTGAAAGTCGTAGAGTGCCTCGGCGAAGGTGACCAGCTGGGACACATGCTCTGTGTCGTTCTCGAGCAGATTGAACATGCCAACCTGCGCCAGCTGGAGCGACTCACCAAACTTGTCCTCGGCACCCCGAATCTCATCGTCCTTGGCCTGCCGGCGACGCTTGCAGTCAAAGTCCAGCCGCCGGCCCTGCAGCTTCTTGCGATGGTGCATTACCTCCTTGAGGTCTTTGGTCTGCATATGGTGCAGTGGCTCCAAAAAGTTCTGCTTGATGTTGTCGTCCAGCGAATACTTGACGTCGGCCATCTGTTTCAGCGCCTCGCCGAATTCGACGAGCGCCTGCGCGAACACGCTGTTGTCCTCGCCGAGCTTCTTCCCATAAGTCAGCATGCATTCCGCGAGCAGCCCCTCCGGCTGCGGGTACGTGTTAGACTTTGCCTGCCCGGACAGCTTCGAGATGCCCTTCACGGCGGCCATCTTAGCCCGCGCCGTGGGATTCGGTTGCAGGAACTCCTTCGTCTTCAGCTGCAGCTCCTCAACCAGCTCCACGGTGACGTCCGTCTTGCGTTCCATCTCCATGAAGTCCATGTCCAGCTTGGTGCCCTCGGCGCCACCCATCTTCTCGGTCATGTACTGGTTGGCCTTGTTGATTTGCTTCTTTAGTCCGGCGAAAGCCATGGTGATGCTGGTTTTTCCTGCTCGCCGGGGGATGTGGTGTTATTGGTGTTGCAATCACTGGCTTTCCAGTGGGGCAAAAGACGCGGTGGCTGTGAACGGGTTGGTTGGGTTAGTCGAGACTCGAGTTTTGATTTCGTTTTCGATTTCGAATTCGCCTCAATGTCAATATCAATTGATCAGCAGAGCCGCTTGCTGGCTGCGTTGTTGCTATTTTTAACGTTTGGAAGACTTACGCGTCGTGCACTTTTCCTCTCCTCGCTTTTCCTCCTGCTGCGCTGCCGCTGCCGCTGCTGCCGTTTCTGCTGCTGAGCTGCGCGGGTGGTGCTGCTGCCTTCTAGTACCTTTTTTGCTTGGTCTTCCTTTCTCCCCCGCGATGCCTTCGTGGAAGCTGTGGCGCAAATGCTGATTAGAGTTTCGGGAACGATTGTTAAAATCGAGTTCTACTTCTCCGCTGGCACTTTCACTCGCTTCGCTTGCTCGGCACGTTCTGCCCGCTGCTTTCTTCGATTCGATTTTTTTTTCCAGAACGTAACGGACCGCGGACCTTGGGGCTGCGTAATGTTTGAAGGACCGTGTGTGTGGTGTGTCGTCGCTTCGTTACTACTACTACACGTCGTGCGCGCGGCGGGGGCGGGGGCGTTTTTGGGGTCGCGTTTTTCCTCTGCCAAAAAATCAATATCTCGGTTGGGTACAACAATTTCGATGTGACCGTGGCGGCCACTGGAAAATATACCGGAAAATTATGGTATGGTCTTTGATGGTAATTCAACGGAAAAATACCAAATATACCACACTGCATTTGAATATAACGATAGCATTTTAATCCAATCGATAGCTTTTGGCGCCAATTTGAAAGGATTTTTTCAGTGAAAAGGGGAAATTATATGCGCTCTATTTGGATTTTTTTTGGGTTCTGTTCTGTTGTTCTGTTGTTTCTTGTATCGTTATTATTAAAACTTTTTAGGGTTTGATAGAAGATATTAGAAATACTATACTTTATGCGGACTTACTTATTATATAAATTATCTTTATATTTCTCTGTAGATAGTTTTCGGTGGATAAAATTTAAACTATTAACAGATACTATATTCCTATTAGGAATTTTAATTAGCGTTTAATACAAAGCTACATTTAATATTTGGCGCGAAAAATATAATTTAAATCTTACTTGATAATTAACGTTTTCCGGTTTACTTCTATCGCGTATAGTCATAGTTTTATTGGCTCATTATGAAAAATATATTTCAGTCGCAGGAAATAATAAAAACAAGTAAGGAAGCTAACTATGAGATGGCGAAGTGTGTATGTTCTTGTAGTTGGACTAAATATTAAAAAATCTTCATTTGTATGGTATTTTGTAAGTTTTAATGGAGATTATAAAAACGTAGTTAAATATTTAGTATTTTCATTCATTTTTTTTCTCATTCTTAATTGATTAAGATTTTGATTGATATTTTTATATGCTAATTTTTGGGTTAATCAAAGTTTTTCAAATATCATAACTAAGCCAAAAATCAATTAATTTGAATTCGGAAAGCTTTTCTGTGCTAGTTTTTAAATAGCTAACAAATCTGCATTATGACCTTTTAGATTTAAAAATATTAATTTTTTTGGTCAAATTTTGACAATTTTAACGATGTAGCACCTTAAAAAATTATAAAATGTTTTGAAAATTTATTTTTACACCGGACATGGCTAAATCGATTCAGCTTTTGATGCTGATCAATAATATATATGATTTATGGGGTCAGAAATGACTCCTTCACCATTTTTCAAGGTTATGACTGAAATTATTATACCCTGGAAGAGTAAAAAAAATACCCCAAGCAAGATACATAAGTCCACGATGACTCAATGTGGATTTCAAAAATAATTGTCACTTTGTGCAATTATGCATCAGCATTCCCGCAGAGTATGCGAAAATGGTAATTAAGCTTATCTGTACGAAAGGTGCTACCGATTTTCAACCGGAAAGTGCTAGATAAACCTCTAGAGATCGTAAACAGCGGCGACGTCACAGCATGAGGCAGCAACTTTTCGACATACCCCACACACTACTTTATATTATTTGAATTTATCTTTAAAGATAACCCCCGAAGGCGACTTAGCAGCAGCGCCGAACAAATAACAATGTAAATCAGTTCAATCGCACGGCAGAAAGATATAGTTTAGATATAGTCTGAGAGATAGCAAAGTCTGGGCGTGTTTGCCATGGCATATAAAAGCCCAGCACCTCAGAGGAGGTGGCAATTAGTCTCGACAAAACCACAACGACTGAGAATCCACAAAGAGCTCAGAAAAAAAATAGAAACATGAAATTCGCAATTGTTCTATTGGCCGCCAGCATTGCCTGTGCCAGTGCCCAGGTGAGGATTATCCACTCCTTCTCTCTCTGTGCCTCTATCTGTCGCAAGGATTATTTTGTAACAAGATTTCTTCCATTTTATTTCCAAGTATCCACCTGCTGTCCCTGCTGGAAATCCCCTCACCGGAAATCCCTTTGCCGCTGCCAATCCCTATGCCGCCGCCTTCAATCCCTTCCTGAACGGAATTTTCGGTGGTGCCGGCACTGGAGCTGCCGCTGGAGTTGCCGCTCCCGTTGGACCCTCGGCTCCCTTTGGAGGCGCCTCCATTTCCAGCTTCTTCCAATCGATTGTCCTGCAGCGTGAGGCCGAACGCCTGCTGTCCCAGCCTGGTTTCCCTGCCGATCTGGCCGAGCGTGTCCAGGATGTGGTGGCTAACTCCGAGGAGGCGATCAGCGGCTGCAACAACGCTACCTTGCCCTGGCTGCAGATCCGCTGTGTGAAGCCCCTGCTGACCACATCCAAGAACCAGCTGAAGGCCATCGATGATGAGTGGCAGGCACGCTTGGCCGCCGCCTCCAGCACAGTGGCTCCTGCCTAAAAACGATGCCAATAGTATCCAATTTTCCTGCTCCCAGCTCCCTTATTTAATAACCCTTAATCCTTAGCAATCGACCAACATAGATGCAATAAAATTTAAATAAGCTCAACGCAGGAATTCTCGAATCTTATACATTGGGGGAATAGGGGGGGACTCCTTGGCAGGACTCTTAGGTCCTGACCTAGGCCGCGCTTTGATGTGGCTGCCCGGCTGGACTCTGCATTCCGGCGCTTTATTAAATTTCCCATCGGGAATTACGAACTTCAACATTGCTTCCTTTGCCTCCTTCAACTCTTTTTGGGAGGCAAATACTTGGCTGCTAACGTCACCAAAAGGGATGCTAATATGTTGGCAAGAGAGATGTCATCAGTTTGAGGAAACTAAACTTTATTAATTTAAGTATAAAATGTTTTTTAAAGTCAAAGAAACAGGAGTATTTTGTTTAAATAAGAAGAGTATAGAGTTCTTTAAAGGATTCTATTTGAAAACCCCTTTAATTCCCAATATTCTGATAGGTTTTAGTTGGCCAAAAGGCCAGCACTGTCACGCACACTTAAGTCCAGACCATCGCTGGAACTTGACGCATTTTGGCCAAATATTTGAACTGAGTTTTCCCTCCTTTGGCAGTCTGCCCTCCCTGCCCCTTCCTAGTCTCCTTTGTGACGACGGGTTATGACAGCCCTTTTATGCATTTATCAATTGACGCTGCCAAATTGTTTCCAGTGCATGATTTGGCTCTCAATTGGTCCTCATTTTTGGGGGGCCAGGAGTTCAGTTCGCTTGGCTAGAGTTGAGTTGCAGCGGCAAATGTTGATTTATGTGCCAATGCAGTTCAATTATCCTGCCATGTCCTTCGATTCCAAGCATTTGCATATGAATTCAAAGAGGTCCCAGTGTAAGGACTCGGCTTCGCTTAACGACCTTAAGCCCCGCAGGAAGGATGAATTTAAATTCAAATTCCACTTGAAATGTGTAATTAAATGTAAATTTCCAAACACAGGCACACACACCCCTCTAAATAAAGGGGAGTGCAAAGTTTGAGCCACTTAATTGAAATATTTCAAGATTGAAACTTGGCTACGACCGTTGTCATTACAACAACGGCGATGAGCAGCAGCAACAGCAACAGCCGCCGCAACTTGGCAAAGTTTTGTGTAGTTGTGGAACTCCTCGAACACCCCACTCGTGGGGGGGAGGGGGTGTAGGAAACCCAAAACTGAAACCTAAGCTCTGTTTTGGTAATGCAAAAGTTGCGGCATTTGAAATTCACGCAACAGCAGCAAAAAATGGTAATTCGAGGCACAAAATAAAATCCAGCCGCATTCGGGGCTGCCCAACTAAATATATACATATATATGCCAAAATTGGTTAGCAAAAACAAAAAAGGAGGAGGGGAGGGTTGACACACACACGCACACACACAGGACACACTCTTTGGAAAGTGCATGTATGTAAATTTGTTTTGGGTTTTGTGGCTTTTGTTTTGATGCAAAAGTTGGACGCCGCCCCCAAAGTAGGCAACAAAAATTTCTGCGGCTTTTGGCCTCTGTCAGAGTTCGTTAGTTCACCATAATGTCGGGCGGGGGAAGGGGTGCGTAGGTTGGAAAATTAGTAAATCTCTTAAATCTCCCCTTCGACCAACGTCCGAATGGAATGATCCCTGGCTTTAATAGTGTTTAGCCATTCGGTGTTTACTCTTGCCACCTGCTACTGTCACTTCCGTTGGCCACTGATAAAGCCATCTAATTACACGAAGTTATCCCAAGATATATGATCTAATTCCCAGCATATACAACATAATGGGGTTGAGGCTATCTAGTTATCAAACACAAAAAGATAAGAGATGTAGTAAAAAACTATCAAGAAGTAAACAAGAGATAAATACAGATAAAGATAGCAAAAGGCATCTACAGTTTTTTGAGAAATTGTATCTCAGTTGTTAATTGAAGGTTTCCCAAAGATGTCCAGAGTTACGCTGATTGTAGTTTGTGTTTTGCTCTCCCTGGTGGGTTAAGATATAATATATAATTTCCATTTAAATTAATACAAAAGTCTTATTAAAGAGCGGTCAAGCCTGGGCTCAATATGAGGCCGTAGATCAGGCCATTGCCTGGGCCAACAATGTTTACCAAACCGTTGCCGTTGTGACCAGAGAGAAATTACCTGTTTCGACTCAGGCTCAAAAGGAGGGCCAGGATATGCTGGATACCTTAAAATTGGGCCTAACCCATTGCGAGACTGAGCTAAAGACCACCAGGAATGTGGACCAGCACAAGACGTGTGTCAATGCCTTGACAGCTGGCTATTACGCCTCTTTGGGTCAATTGGCCGGTGAACTGTGGGCCATTCATGGAGCCACCTCTGGAGCATCGCGTATCCGCTTGTTCTGGTAATCACAAGGGATTCTAGGAAGCTAATTGAAACTAAATATAAAAATATATAAAAGGAATACTAATTGTTATTGGCTTAAGTTTATGAAAACATACAGAAAATAAAGTGAATAGTTGGAAAATTATATGCTAAGCTCAAGAAACTTCTGGGTTTATGATGATTGATGATTCGAAAGGCTTAAAAACGAAGGTGAGAAAACTTAACACTGTTCCCGATCCGCATCCGATCGCTGGCTGTCATTAAGTCTGAGTCTCTTTTCTTTGTGACCTCTCTGCATCGCCTGTCTTGTACTTTAATTAGACAGACAACTCTTGTGGGCCAAGTCCCTGGGCTGGGGTAGCTTTGAAGGGCTTTGGCTTGGTCTGTGTCCTGGCATGTCTAGTGCTCATTATGTAAATGTGCGGGAGCTGGGAGCAGCGTTTCGTAATTATAATCATTAGACGCGAGACAAAACCCGCACAAAGCAAATAGCGACATTAGCTGCGTGGAAATGTGTGTCAATGAAGATGAATCTGCTTGAGACGCCAGAATCGTGGGGCCTTTATACCCACGACTGGCACTGCATTGCTCCTCGTGACATTGGAGGGCACTCCTCGGAAAGCTTGAATCCCCAGGCAGGCCCTAATGAGAGTGCCATGCATCGCATAGCTATCTGCTTATGTGTGTGTGTGGGAATTCCCATTTCGGTGTTCAATTATTTGCTCTACTTTAAATTCAAACCTAACGAGAAAGGAAGCTTACTTTGGCATGCCAAAGTTGGAATAACCTTGCAGTTTGTTATAGGATTGATCGATTTCTATCTATATATCTTTCTTTCACTTAATTTTAATACACTTTTCTTTTACATTTTTGTACCATTTTAAGATACTTGCATTTCACTTGTTTTTTTTTTTTTACATTTTCGTGCCTATTTTAGGCAATTGCATATAACTTTCTTGAGGCCCTAAGCCTTGGACTCAGCCTCAGATGTGGTTTCCGTATCAGAAGCAGGAGCATCCGGTTTGGGTTCATCAGTGTTGCCGCACACACACATGGGACACTGCAAAAAGGATAAATAATTAGTGTAAAATATGAACAATACAAGACTTGCAGGTCTTACCTTTTCCTTGAGAACTATTCGGTATTTGGGATGGCTAAAGGCAAACCAGGAATTCAAATAGCAAAATAGTAAAATTATCATATAATATCTCACCTAATGCCATACACAATGGGATTGTATACCGCACTCGTCTTGGCAAAGGTTGCTCCCCAAATGGTGGTCAGCGGAGTCAGGCCATCGATCTTGAAGAGGCCAAAATAGCAGATAACCAGGTACGGGGTCCAGGCCATAAACCACAAAGAGATGGTGGTTAAGGCCACCTTGGCCAGCTTGCCCTCGGCACTCTTGTCACAATCCTCAGAGCTCCGCAGCGACTTGACATTCATCTTCTTGGCCTGCTCTCGCATCGCCTTCTCGTGGGCAGCAACGGCGGCGATGATGAACCAGTAGGAGTAGCAAATAAGGAAGAGCGGTGTGTAGTAAACGAACAGGGAGTAGGTTATCAGATAGGATCTAGGATTCCACAGGCGCGTCATGTAGTCAATGCTGCAGGCGGTCAGATTCCCCTCCGGCACATAGCTGCTCCATCCCACCAGAGGCATGACGGTCCAGAAGACAGCCATCAGCCAGATGAAGAGGATTTTCATTATCGATGTCTTGATGGTCATTGGAGTACCATTAATTCCCTTCACAATCACATTGTATCGATCGAAGGCAATCATGCACATCGACCAGATGGAGACGCATCCAAAAAGGGAACCGCAGGCCGCGTAAATGTCACACCACAAAGGTCCCAGGACCCAGGTTTCGTAGTAAAAGTTAATGATCATCACCGGCGACTGGGAGGCCATCATGCAAAAGTCCGAGAAGGCCAGGTTAAGGACGAGAAGGTTAGCCGGCGTGCGCAGCGACTTGGTTCCTCCGAAAATGTAGACAACCACTCCATTGCCGCAGCAGGATATGATCAGGATGATCAAGGTAAACAGGCCAAGGATCTTGCTCATCATGGGATCCATGGGGGAGAAGCGGCTCCAATAAGGGTTCACGAGGTGCGCCATGTCGGGCAGCACCTGGAAAGGAAAGAGGGAAAATAAAATATATCTTGCAGATACACTAGCATCTTGGTCTATACGCACATTATCCAGCACGGAACCATTGCTACCCGACTGGGCCTCAAACCGTGGGCCAGATAGGGCCACGGCCAATGTCATCTCTGGGAAATGACTGCGCTCCATGCTCAGCTGCCCGCAGCCCCTTTGGCTACTCGAATGCTCATCGAATTCTATCTGAGACGGACTTCTTAAAATGCTGCCCTTTATAGGCGGGTTTTTAAGCCAATTAGGCATACATTTATCTAAACGGAAGGTGGTGGTGCAAAAGACTAATACGACGGCCGACAGCTGCCAGATAAAAGTTAAATTTTATATTTCTTTTTTGGTATAAACTCATTGCCAGCCTCAGTCTGAGTTGCATACGCTAAACAATCAATGTCCAAGTTCAGAAAAGCCTCTGAATCGATCTAAATTGGGGTGGTGGCTTGTCCGGGTTTTGAAAGCATTCCCAGCTGAAAATTATAGCGTCGCGAGGAATTTCTGGCCACATTTCTGGCACAGCTTTCGTCGTGTCCCCTCCTCTTGGCAGCAACTCATCTCGGTCATAGAAGGTGGACAGTGCAGTGTTTTTAGCGTGGACTTCGAGTAGTTGAGCTCCACATTAGATGGTGTCCTTTGCCCGCCAGTGGATCGGATACCCTCAGCAATCCCGGTCTGGTTGGCATAGTACGCATCCTCATCGGAGCTGGGCAACTCGTACTTAACAATGTCCACCTTTTGGAGGAGGATGAGCTGCTTGCAACACTCCTTGATCTGGTAGTAGGCGGCTCTGAACAATCTTTGCTTGGAGGTCTGCATAACAAAGAGGAATTAAGATCCCAATTGGACAGGGATAACAATAAGGATTCGAACTCACTGGAGTTAGGTTGTGAATAAAGGCCGGCTTGCCATCCCGTCCAAAGGAACTAAGCAGGAGCAACTCACAGTTCGACCTAGAGGTAGCAGTAGACCAATGCTGCAGTTCCTTAAACACGGCCTCGTCCAAGGCCACCACGTAATCGAAGTACTCAAAGTCATCGGTAGAGAACTAAAGAAGGAAGTATGTATCATCTATAATTATATGTATATAGAAATTTGGACCCACCTGTCGGCAGAAGTGATCCGAACGCAGACCGTGCTCGCGCAGCACTCGCAGGCAGCGCTGGTCCGGTCTGCGTCCAGTGTTCCAAGTCCTCAGGCCGGCGCTGTCCACCTCCCAGTAGATGCTGGTCTTAACCATAAGATTCTGCATGATGGCCTCGGCCATGGGCGAGCTACAGGAGTTGCCTGGTTCACCGGAAGGACACTATTAGATTCCCACAAAGTCACAATGCGATAGAGACCTACCCATGCACACGAATAGAAGCTTCTTGAAAGACATCTTAGCGTTTCTTAGCGTATACGGGCTTGTTTCGTTTATTTCGGTTATTTTCCTATCATGTAATAAAACTTGTAAAATTTTGTAAGCTTCCGTTCCTGGTTTAAGCTATTTTTGAATGACGACCACCTATTTCTATCGAACCTACATGTCGACTCGAAATCCTTAAACTGCAAGGCTACTTTGTTTCCGTCCGAATTCAAAATGACAGTAAATGATCATTTCCCCAGATTATTATCCGCACTAATGCACTTTTTACAGCACTTGGCCACCCACTAGATTGGAGTCCTGCAGTCAAGGAGCAGGTGGAGGAGGAGGAGGAGGAGGAGGAGCAGCTAGAGCACCAGATAGTGTCACGTGGCTGTCAGGTGCTGGCGTTGGCCACGTCGTGTCGCGAGCTGCATTCGAAATTAGCCAACAAGTTCAGCGAACTTGCTTGTGGCAGGGGGAAATTGGAATTGCAATTGGATGAGGCGAGTGCCAATCCCACCCTCATATGCTAAATTTCTTGGAAACATGCACTGTGTTTGAGACACAAATCAACATAGATATGAAAGCTTCAAGTCCCTGTTTCTGGTCTTAATATAAGACTCAGGTCTTGTCTTTTTGTCTGAATATATTGATTCATTGGGTTATGGATTTAATTAAACTTCTAAGTATATGGGGCTAATAAGTCTGAGAATCTTTGTAAAATATCTCCTAAAAACTGGAATAATTAACAAGGGAATAAAAATAACAAATTAGTTTAGGAATTTCCTATTTCAATCCTTAAATGTTTTAAGTGCGAAAGCAGTTTTTGCTCCCTTAATTCTACATGGTGTCCTAACTCTCTATCTCTTTCCATCTTTGATGCTTAGCCTGCAATGTACAAGCCAAGTAAGTCTCTTAGGCAGCTCTTAGGCAACTTCAATTCGTATTTCTCCCTGTGTAATCGTGATTGATGAAAGTCCCTTTTATGCAGTTGTCATGTCATAAAGGTGCAATCCACACAATGCAACGGGAATTCATTTTATTTCAGTCTCAATTAAACGAGTTCTGTCTGAACGGATCAATTTTGAACATTTCAGTGGGGCAAACAGCTAGCCACCATCGGGGAGCCACAGTTCTTTTTATTTTCTTTTTTCCATTTTCCATGGAGAGCTGAGAGTTGGCCCCGTTGTAACTTGGCCATTGGCAATATCCAATTCGAATTGCATTGAACGACTAAATTGAAAATGCAACTGAAAAAGCATATTTCACTTATCACTTTTCACACAAAACACACACACACACACACAGGGGCAGGCCGAAACAAAGAGGGATGCTGTTGCAGAGGGTCAGAGAAAGGGACAAAAAAACGGGGCAAAATGAAATTGTAAGCGCAAAAGTAAAACACACGAGCAGCAAACAGCAGGAAAAACAGCAACAGCAACAAGTCAGTCACCGGGCGAGCGGGAAATAATATGTGGAAAAGCGGGTTAGATGCCGGACGGACGGAAGTGTGGCTCTGGCACTGCATTGTTGTTTTAATTAAAAACAAACCTCCCGAGCTGTTGGCCCGACAAAAACAGCACCAACGGCAACCGGGAGCAGCAGTAGCAAAAAAAAAGGAAGAAAACTAAAGCCAAAGTGAGCAACCTGAGAGGCAGGCTGGGGTGTGTCTGTAGTGCTGCATATTTAGTGCAAAGCTGAGGAAAAACAGAAAAAATAGGAAAATTGTGGGTTGGTAACATCCCCGCAAAGAAAACCCAACGGGCAGACGGAAATGTGCGACTATCTTACAGATACATATGTACAAATGGGAAATAAGTAGGTGTGGCTGCCATCGTAATGCTGTGGCAATTCGCCCAAATTAAACTATGAGTCCAGCCAAAGCCACACCTAATGGAAATTTAAATAAAAATAAAACTAAGGCTAGCAGAATGCTTTTTGTGTTGACCACAAATGCAATTCACAGGCCCCACACAATCGGTGGTGGAACGCAGGCGGTCAAGGAGAAACTAATAAAACAGGGAAGCAGGAAATATGTTTTTAAACTAACTGACCAGGAGCAACAATTGCTGCAACAAAAGCAGCAATGCAACGCAGCACACACATCAGCAGCATCCTCATAGTTTTCGCCAAACACAAGTACATGCAATTAGGCACACACTCAATGGGCAGACAGGTGTGTGTCAGGTGTACTGTTCGCTGTGTGTTTGTGGCCATTTTTCCGCTGATTCAGGTTCAGCGTTCCTAAATGTGTGTAATTTCTGTATTGCTTTTTAAAATTAAATTTGCTTCAAGCATTGGCAAGTATGTCAGAATATGCAATTGCCTCGAGCAGTTGCTTTCTCCTAAATAAACCTTTTTGTGAGGCGCGCTTTTCGGTGTGTGTTTTCCTGAGGTGTTATAAATAAATTAGAATGTCCGCCAGAAATGGGCGTGGCCGATTTGCAGGATAATTTCATATGTGTTTTGGCTGTGGGCAGCCTCAATAAATATTAATTGTTGGCACTAAGAAAACAAGCGGCTTTCAATTATAACGTTTTCATCAGACAAAAGCAGAATTGCAGGTCAAACAAGGGGAAAGATTAAACTCTATCATTTAAAGATTACGAGTTGAAAGCGTTAAGATTGTATGCACTGACAGAAAAATATAGATTATATTTGTATTCCTTTGCAGGGGTATTTAATCTTAAGTCAAAAGCTTTAAACTCAGTGAAGGAATCATTTCCGACCCTATAAATCATATATATTCTTGATCAGCCATGTTAGACAAGAAATTAAAAAAAAAGTTTTTTCCAAAAATTTTTAAGTTTACATTGTCAAAATTGTCCAAAAAATTTCAAAAATTTCGAAAGTTTTTAAACTTAAAGTAGAGTATCCAATTTTCTTAACTTTATGAAAAAATACATAGTAAAGTTTTCTGAATTGAAATTAGTGCCTTTTTAGCTTAATTATAAGTTGTTTTTACTTTAATTTTTTGAAAATTAAATAATTTTAAAAATATAAATTAAATTCGAATATTATAAGCTTAGAAATGATCGATTTCGAAATCGATATTATTATTCGATTGTAATCTCTAAAACTATATAAACTAAAGATTCCCGAAGCTGGTTTACTTTCTTATTAAATGTTTATATAACAAAATAAAGCAAATTCTCATTACACAAGATCATATAACATGTTCTAACTGAAAGTGTGGATTTTTACTAATGTAAAATTGTTCAACGTGCTATTTTATTTAAAATGAAAACATATTTTTCTCCTACGATAATCTCAAGGGTATCAAAAATGTATTTCCTTTTGAGTGCGGAATCTTATCTGTGGAATAATTTTTTTTAAATAGATAAATAACAATCATATTGTGCTGTATACTTTTGGGGTTTCAAATGGGGGCCCCTTTCCTAAATGTCTTGGGGGAAAACATTAACAAATGATGCGGCGGGCAGCGTGGAAAAGCGGAAACTGACCTAAGATAGGCGGATCCGACCGAAAGAAACCCAAACGAACCGAGGGTCTCATTAAAAAGCCAAAGGCAAATATGGTCGGTCGTCTCTGCAATTTCCTCAACCTTAAATTCGACCTCATCAATAGCAACAGCAAATGGCAGCCGGGTTGCAAAGTCGTCTGGCCGAGATTTTTTGTGGCCGATAATGCCGCACGTAGCGGCAATTCAGCAAATGATGCAGGACAGGACAGGAAGAGGGGCACGGAGCACGTTCCATGGCCAAGTCAAGTCAATCGTCTGGAGCGGCATCTTCATCTTCTGGCTACGGCTCCGGCCCGAATCTGGGGCTCGTAAGTCATTTAACATTTTGAGGTATTTAATGAGCCAAAAACTTTTGGCCGCACATAAATTAAAAGTCGACTGGCATCAGGCAGCCGGCATCAGGCAACCTGAGGAGCAGTGCCTCAGCTCCCAAGGGGGAATCCCATCTGGGGTCAGGGTCAGGTGTCCGACGGCTGACCAGGCAATGGCTCTATTAGCATGCCCATTAAAATTAGACAAATGGTTGCCATTGCCGTTTGCCGTTTCGCATATCCGCAACTTTGGGCCAGTCCGCAGATTTATGGCCATCAGAGAGAGGGGAGGGGGGCTCAACTTCGACGGCCAGTCATGGTTTTGGCCTGGCCAGGCCTTTTGCCGCAATCACATACGCCACTTGAGAGAAATGCGCTGCGGCCGCTTTCGTTATGATAAATGATTTTGTCGGCAGCCATCCGAAATGCATGTTCCCACTCCACATCAAAGTGTGTGTGTGTGTGAAGGTCACATTGAAAGTCATATACTGGGTAATTGGGTACAAAAAAACAACTTAAAGTGACCCTAAATGGACAGAGAAATCAACTCAACCTGCTTTAAAACCTGCTAAGGACTAGTATTGCACAGCCCAAGCTTCACCATTAAGTATTTAAACATTATACAAGATCATCTGGCAGCTCTTATTAAAGATACTTTTGCTACAGTGTCATAACCTCATAAACTTAGTATAGTTTTTTAAAAAATACAAATGCATATAAGTATGGTAGCAGATATTTAGAGCAGTTGAGTCTGAAGCAAATATGTTTGAACCATTTAATAAAATAATGCAACAGTTTATATAAGGAAAGTTTTTCTTCAGTATGATAGACCAGGACTATACAAATCCATGGAAATTAAAAACCTGATCTTAGTGTCATACAACCCTAAATATAATAAGCTCTTATAAAAGACATTAGGTATATTTCCCTGATTCGGAAACTGGTAAGACTTAAGCAATTGTTTTACACAATATCCCGCTACTCTTATTAATAGAGTTCAGCAAAAGTGACATAATCTTTGGAGGATACGAATTATTAAAACTTGAGTACCAAAATCAAGTACATATTTTTTACCAAGAACTTGGAAGCACTTTTGGCTTGAAGCAATTATACAGCCTCATCGCTTAGCCTTTAAGTATTGACATCTCACTTTAAGAGCCGACACTTTCTCCAATTGAGTACCTCGAGTGGGATGAGATTTTACCGTCTTGATTTCGTTTGCTGGCAGGGCAGAGCAGGGCTTTTGTGTATTTGTAAGCGGCTTCCACTTGGCATTTTCTATTGCTTCGTCTTCGATGCCCTGGTCCCTGGACGAGTTCCTGGCAAATTTAACCCTTCACTTCATTAAACGTACTTGCCGATACCCCAAGGGCACACAAATCACTTTGGCCACAGATACAAAAGGCTGGCT